TATTTTCATGAAAAAAATATGAAAATTAAAAATGTGCACTTAACCGCCCATTGTCTCCCCTTTGAAAAAGCTATTTATTTGATATTGGATGATCATTTCTACATCTTTCCTTTAAATTTACTTTATGAAGATTATATTGGAAATATTTGAAAGTTTGATGGTAAACAATTGGGTGAAAAAACTAAAAAAAAACATGAAAAATAGAAAATTAAAAATGTGCATTTTATCACCCAATAACTCCACTATGAAAAAGCTATTTATTTGATATTTGATGATCATTCTGACATCTTTTCTATTAGGATACTTTATGAAAAATATGTTTACCATCAAACTTTCAATATATTCCTCATAAAGTATCCTCAAAGAAAAGATGTCAGAATGATCATCAAATATCAAATAAATAGCTTTTTCATAGGGGGGGGGGGGGGTCATTCGGTGTTAGAATATAAATCTTTAATTTTTCTTATTTTTTAATGTGTTTTTTTTATTATTATTTTATTCACCTAATTTTTTAACCATTAAACTTTCAAGTACTTTCAATATATTCCTCATAAAATATCCTCAAAGAAAAGATGTTGAAATGGTCATCAAATGTCAAATAAATAGCTTTTTCATAGGGGAGTCCTTGGGTGGTAAAATACAAATCTTTAATTTTTTTTATTTTTTTCATGAAAATTTTCACCTGCAAACTAACAAAAAGTGCCAATGTGTCCTCCATTATGCATACTACAATGTCATAGTCATTTACTCCAACTAAATTAGATTTTTGAATGTTTTTTTGGGGGAGTCAGATTTTCATGGTACACCGGGCCTCTGAGACCCGGTTTCAGGGTTTACGTAGGGTTCCATTTCCTTGTGGATGAGGGGGAGACGTCACGTAGCTCATGTAGTTAGCGATCGTAAACAAACAAACCGTTACTCTGGTCACTAGGCCTATATGTGCCTTTGAGTTTTTTCTTTGAGCTACCTAAAGAAAGTCCGTGGAATTTCGGCTTGCAATTTGCGCTGTTTAAAACATTGCATTACAGTATGGTACGATTGTGTGAAAAAGGGTGGTCGCCTAATATACATGTCTAAAACACAAGATGGTAGTGGGGTATGACCTGACATGAATTTTTGCCCTTTTGGCCGCCCATAGTGGGGCGTGGTAATAGGGCGGGAAATTGTACTTCGGGATTTCCCCATCGTCATGCCCAACGCTGTTTATCGGGTGGTTAAAAAAGATGTTTACAGTATTCCCGAAGAAGCATTTTCTATTAAAAGGAAAATTTAGCCATTTTTTTCATAGACATGCCTTACAGACATCAATCACTGTGGCTACTTGCCGCATCGCTGTGGCTACTCGCACACTGACGTTTGTAAAGACACTGTTCAACATGTGATGGGGAATTTCGGGATTGTTTGCATGGACACTGTCTGGTGGGTAACGGCACAGAAATCATTCCAAAAGGCATAAGTCTCCCGTGGTACGGACCATCGTTGGCATGAACATTTATATAAACATTTATATCCTTTGGATTGTTTTCTGTGGGAATACCTGAAAGACAATGTCTATGCCAACAATCCACAAACTATTGGTGGTCTCAAGAACTATTTTCAAACGGAGATCAGGAGAATTCCCCATGACATGTTGAACAGTTGATATGTATATATAAGAGAAAAACTTAAACAACACAAACTTCTACGTCTGTAAGGCAGGTTTATGAAGGAATTTGTGGAATTTTCTTTTCAATGAAAAATGTTATTTTATCGAAGCATATTTTTCGAACACCCTGTATTCTCTTCTTCTATGTACTTTGTACGTCACTGGATCATTCGAGATCCAGCTGCTGGAGAAGGAGGAAGTTGAATGATATCAAAAAGGATAGTGACTTGATCACGAGAAGAAACACTCGAAGGTAGGCCAGTAAACAAACAAATTTCCCCCACTGAAATTGTTTTGTTGACTTGCCAAGTATAGTGTTGCATCAAGGCATGTATTTACATTTAACACTGGGATAAAAAGAAATGTTAAATTGATGGAGAGAGAGAGAGAGCAGAGACCTAAGATTTACAGTCAGTTAAATAAGCCATGTAGCAGAAAACTATACCTGCCTGTCTCAGTTGACTTATTGGTGAAAAGCAAATCAAAGAACTTGAATAACCAACCGGATGGCTATTACAAAATATAGTGTTGCAGCAAAGCAGATATTTACCTTTAACATTAGGGTTAAAAGTAATGTTAAATTGAAAGTAATTTTTACCCCGCACGGACCATTATTGCCTCTTCATGAAATTGTTTGCTATAAGCTGTTACTTTCTAAGGGGTGTTCAGAATGACTTAATGCTCACTAACTCCACTAAAATCGTTTTGCTAGATATGATCATGTTAAAAGGGGTAGGCCACGTCCCAACCCTGTTTGATGTCGTCTTTTG